ACCTTATGGGGAAATTTCCTTCGGGTTGCGACCAATTCGGGGTGCGACCAGAGTCACGAAACGAATTAAGTTCGTAAACCGAGGTTCCACTGTAGTAGTAATAAGGCCAGGGTTGGTTTATGTATGCTATTCATTAAACTGAGAGAGATATGTAATTGTGCTGATCATACTCATCAGCTGTATTTCCCGTCACTGGGATGCTCAAAATAATATGTAACCATTAAAACTAAGACAATACATGTACAAATTAAAGTAACAAATAAAGTACAATAGAGTATTATCCAATAGTAACAGATTACTGGACCAAAGGTTTTCACGATTCAAAATTTGATTGAGAAATCTGGTCACTGTTAGCTGTTGAGATTATTTATCAGTCTGACACATTACACTGTCCAGAGCCATTGTTGTGATTTACAATAACCTTACCCAATCAGACATAAACATCCATAAACTATACTGTCACATACACCACAGATCATCAAAGCCTATATGCTAATACCAAATAGCAGGTGGTTAAAGTATCCTTCTGAACAATGTTCTTGCCATGAAATAGGTGTAATTTAATCCATCTGTAAATGTTTCTGTGTTAGTCAAAAGCACTAAAAGATAATATTAAGCTCACTTAGGATCTGGATTCAAGCCAGATGTATTCATAAGTTCAGCACTTTGCAATGCATTCTCTTGCTAAAGCACAACATCAACATTATGAATATAGGCTGTCATTTAAAAGAACAATGGGACTACTATATGCACTGATAAATATGCTAAAAAAATTCAGCACTGGTTAGTCCCTAGAGTCAAGAGGTCTTAGTTGCCTTTTTAACTTTTTGGAATACACGATAAGTCCTTTGATGGAGAAGTTAAAGTAAGGCAGTAAGTAAAGTAAGTAAAGTAAAACACATATGGTATGTTTTGTGTTTTTTTTTAAATAGTTTTGATCTTGCTGAATTTCTATAAAAATACACTAGTTCTTTGTCTTGTCATGGGTCATGCAAAACCTTAAAATACCAATAAAGTGACTTTGTTTAAGTCAATCTTTAAATAGAATGAAAGGATATACTGAAGTAACAATTCTGGAATGTATCAGTATATACAATATGGGGCAGAGAAAAGAAACAACAAAAGTAATTTTGAAGTAATATATAAGACTTTTTTTTCATAAATGAGCAAGAAAGATAAATGTTTTGTTGTGGTTTGAGAGAATTTGCTTGGGAAATGCTGGATGCTCACATCCTATGTTTATGTTTTTTTGCTTCCCATAATCAATATATTTCTTCTTATTGATGAGATTGATTTTGATGACAATTGAGCAATACAAAAAGCATTAAATTTTTTTGTATATTTCTGGTCCTTTAAGGTTTCTTGGCTATGGGCATCTCTATGCAGTAAGTCATTTTCATGACAAATACTCTTAGGAGCATTGGATGATACATGAATCATTTTCTGAAAAATGAAGGCTACTGCATTTTGGATGAAATGCAGTTTCCAGGTAGTCTTCAAAGGCAGTGAACTGCAGAAGTTAAACTCATGGGTCATGATAGCCAGATCATTCTGCTCCAGGAAGAAGCAACTGAGCCATCAACTTGAGCTGGGCAAAGATACTTTTGGCTATGGCTTCCATTACCCTTCCAGTAGGAATTGTGAATCTAGGACAAAATCCCAAGTCATGGTAATAATCTCTCAAGGGCAACAACTCTGTCTTGCTGAAATCAACTTTGCCCTATTGCTGTTGCCCATCCAGACCCCAACAGCCTCTATACACCAGGAGAAGACTTTGACAGCATCCCCTGCTGGGCCCAAGATGGCAATATAGAGCCAAATATCATCAGCATATTGATGATATTGAATCATCAAATTTGTGAAGGAATGGTTGGATGAAGACTGGGCTCAGGGAGATAAGCATTCCCTTAGCCCCCAACA